CCCAGTTTTTCAATGGTTGTGTTCGACAAGACGATAATTCTTCCATCGTGCAAATTATGGTCATTTTCGTCAGTTAAGGCTCGTTAGCATTCGGCCTGCTTTAAATCAGACACAGATGCAGTGCGGTAAAATCGCATTTATTTGAATTAATGATATAATTTATTTGAATTAGCGCGCGCGCGCGAGAGAGAGATGAAAGTCGCGTGTGTGAACCTGCGTCTGCGCGTCTCTCTCTACAAGCAATGAGGCTTAGTTCCTTCGATCATACTTATGATCCAGTACATTCGTGCTACACACATGAACGAAATCTCAATTTATGCAGCTTGAATATTATAAAGGCAACATCCTGGGAAAAAAAAACCCAGCCTAGCAACACATTTAAACACCAGAACAGCCTGACAACCAAGTGTTGGTGGCTTTTGATTTGAACAGGCCATCACACAGTCTATGTATTGGAGAAGACCACTAGAGGGCGATATAGGACTACAACTACTTTATTCCTTCAGCATCGTGTGACGACGATCAGAAAAAATAAACAGTTTTGAATGATTTTTCAAATTGGATTGACTTGAATTAGACTGGATTATGATTAGTGTGTTTTACATGAAAGCCTCTCATGTTTCTGTTTACCATGTTTCACATAATGCATTCATTAATTTATAGTTATTTAAAAATAGAGTGTCTTTAATTAGCCTAGGCCTATTTGAATCAAATCGATATATTTTTACTGAAACATGATCTCTGGCTAGTTGTGTTTTCTGAGATAGTGTAAAGCTGTTAAGAACAGTGTTATTTTAGTATTATTTATATAGCCTAATATTAAAGTATTTATAATAATTTAGCCTTTATTACTTTCTTTTTAATCTTAGTTTAATTCTATTAAATTCTATTTTATATGTTGTTGTTTTTTGTAATTTTAGGACCTCAAATTAAAGTTAGTTGCCAAGGAAACATTTATAATTTTAAGTTTTGTAAATTGAAGTTTTACATCTAATATTTACATTTTATTCAGCTTTAATTCAATTACTGATAATGATTTTTAATAATTTTATTTTCAATTAAAAATGACAACACTTGAGAGTGAAGGGCTACACCAGATCACACAGACACTAATGAAATACATTAGCGAAATACACCTTTCAGGTACACAAAGGAGTCAAAGATATAGCGCATGTTCCCTGTCTGGTATCTAATCCCATCTTTTGTCCGAAGACGACTAGAGTCACGTTTCAATTCAGTGTGTGTGTGTGTGTGTGTGTGTGTAAATGTGTGTGCCCAGATACAGGCCATGGATAGGTGGTGCTCCCTGGATCAAGACAAGCTGAGTGGCGACTATGTGTCAGAGCGGCAGAGGGAGTTGAGTTCCCCTGACTCATGAATAAAATATAGATCTCAGGCAACGCAAACAGACTTGTTGAGACCAGAGATACGCAGCCAGAGAGAGAGGAAAGAGTCCACTTTGACAACTGGACAAAGACCCTTAAAGGGTCCGATGTTTGCTTTGGATATGAGCTCATGTTTGGGGGACGAGAGAAGTTTGGGCTGATGCCGGTCAATGACGTCCTGTGGGCACGATCTGGCGCACAGCCATGGAACTGTCACGAAAGCTGCACTGGATCCACGAACAGCCCTGGAGGGCCCGGGCCCGTCACAGGAAGTTCAACAGTGAGTGTGATATTTTCATGTGTGTGTGTGAAAGAACATGCTGGAAGGGTTCATGAAAACATCTTTTCCCAGTGTAAATGGTCTATTCTTGTATACTTTCAACAATAAAGGTTCTTTATGACATCTATGGTTCCATGAACAACCTTTAACATCGATGGAGCCTTTCCATTGGTTCTTATAGTAGAAAAAGGTTCTTTAGATTTAGAAATGTTCTTAACACGAAAGTTCACTGAAAGGTTCTTTGTGGAACCAAAATGGTTCTTATATGGCATCACTGCCCTGATGGTATCTAAATCATTCAAATGTGTCTGTAATTTCCCCCATATGTATTTTGTACGGGTCTGTGTTCACATTTGTGTGTGAAGACAAGGAGGGAGAGCATGAAGTGAGTGTGAAGGTGCACAGTGTCCACAATGACTCGTCTTCTAGTCACTTTCTGCTCAGAGATAAACACCATGGGTGTCCGGGATCGAGTGTTGGTCATGCTCTGACTCACGCTGGGCTCTAATTGGCTGAAGGCCAGCGCTGCTGATTGGTGATGTGTTCTTCAGATTAATGGCAGACTTGTGTAGCCAGAGGTTCACTCAGATGTGAAATAACAAGGAGTTTAATGTGCCTTAGTTTTAGCTCTACTTCTAACCCATAGTTAGTGGCCATCCAATCAAAATGTTCCCCTTGCTCACAGATTTCAGACTACAAGAGATCAATGTTTGGATGCTTAGCTGTTTCTATTGGTAGATGTCATAACTACATCATTATGCAGCCAGAAAAAAAATATTTAGAGGGCTCTTAAAACCTGGAACGTCAAAATGGACTAATGGTCAATGCTACTAACTAATATTAACCGATAGCTCGAGGCTGTGCAAGGCTGTAGTGGAACAGAAGTAGTCCTTAACATTTTGATAGCCTATTTAAAGAATAAAACCTTTTTCTTTTTGAATTTAAGGCCACTAGTTATCCAACACAATATCTGAAGTTCTTTTGTATAAGCTGTAATATTTGTTTCAGTATGTTCTGCTGTAATTAGACAAAGCTGCAGGTTTTCAAACTTTCTTATCTTCTGGAATCACAAAAAATACGTGTGTGATTCAGAACTGTGTTCATTAAAACAATAGCTATTACAGGAAAATAAAAAAGAGGTCTTAGACCTTGTCATGGCTTGATAAACAACTACCCTTTTAATGTGCTTTTTGTATGTTGGGTGACAATATCATTCCTTAATTTTGTCTCTGAGCTGTATTGATGGATCTGTAAATATCTAATAAAGAACAAGCTTTATTTATAATCATTTAAAGTTTGAAAGGATTGAACACCTTGGGATTATTTTGTATAACATATTATATTAAGCATGGACTAGTTTAAATTTAGTCTGAGGTTCACTGTTTTCTATCCCTAGTTCATTATATATATATTTTTTTATTTGTGTAATTTGGTGCCTATGTGTTGTGCTCTTTAGCAATGTTGTCTGTGTGTGTCTGAGAGAGAGAGCTGAAGACATGTGATAACTAAAGATAGCCAAGCACTAGATGCAGTTTAGTCTGCCCTTAGTCACTGTGAAAGGTCTTATACACACAGCCAAGTACAGAATATGCAAATATGGACAACTTAGAAATGCCTTAAAGGGGTCATATGATGTTGCTAAAAAATAACATTATTTTGTGTATTTGGTGTAATGAAATGTGTTTATGCGGTTTAAGGTTCAAAAAACACATTATTTTCCACATACTGTACATTATTGTTTCTCCTCTATGCCCCGCTTTCTGAAATGCGTCGATTTTTACAAAGCTCATCGTTCTGAAAAGCGAGGTGTGCTCTGATTGGCCAGCTATCCAGTGCGTTGTGATTGGCCGAATACCTCAAGCGTGTGACGGAAATGTTACGCCCCTTACCATATTGTGATGCCTTTTCCCGGCACGACGAGCTTAACTTTTATAAAGAATATCTCTTTGGATTTTAGACTTTAGTCTTTCCAACTTTACAGATCTTCTTCTTTTCTCCATTCTGTCACCGATGGAGTTTTGGTTCCTTGCCGCTGTCGCCTCTGGCTTGCTTAGTTGGGGACACTTCATTTCCAGCGATATCGTTGATTTGATTGCAAATGATTGCAAAGATACTATTTAAACTGAACTGAGCTGGATGTTGACATCACTGAATTCAATGATGAACTGTCTTTAACTGAAAAATTAGTGTTTACTATTGTCATTTTGCATTATTGACACACTGTTTTCCTAATTAATGCTGTTCAGTTGCTTTGACACAATCTGTATTGTTAAAAGCGCTATATAAATAAAGGTGACTTGACTTGACTTGACTTTATGCACCAAGAGCTCGTAACACTCCAAAGAGAAAGGAAAAATTGAAATCACATCATATGACCCCTTTAATGTGTTTTATTGTTACATTTAAGCTTAAGGATGATAATTATGGAATAATTGTGTGTCTGGACCTGTGTTACTGTAATTTAACTGCAGGGGACACTCTGCTCTTCCTCACATACTGAACCTAACAGTCCTAGCTCAAGCACAATCCTGTAAAATTAATCAGATGTTTATTAAATAGGACATGATGCTGATTCGCTGGTGCTTTTGTCTGGATCTCACCACCCCCATGTCAAAATGAGTACAGCGCTAACCGTCTTTGCATTACCGCCAAGGAAAGGAGAGAGAGAAACAGAGATGAAATCCTGTTTTACGTGTGACAGAAAAGATTTAGTTCAGGCTCATCAGTCAAATGCCCTGTGACAACAGAGGGAGGGAACCCATATCCTCAGAATCCCTTTGCATAGCTAATTAACAACAGCCATTGTTTTAGCTCTGCAGCTAAGGTGCTAATCACTCCTCTACAAAGCTAAACATAACAGCTACAGCTGCTGCTGCTCTGGGAATGTTGACCATGTGCCATGAATTCTGCCTCAGTCACTCCCAGATTGGTATTAATTTCCGCCTGTTTTTCATTTGGGGAGCGTCTGATCTGTGCAATGCTATTTATCTCTGACATGCTATTTAGTTGGCTGTCTATTTCACAGATGTTGTCTCAGAAAATGGGAGGGTGCATTCAAAATTCTGAATCGGAGTTCTGAAGTGTTATTTTAGGCCCTAAACATACTTCACACAGTATGATAGTAGCTTGTGTGAACACAGATGCTACTAGCTATGCAAGTTATTTTGCCTGTGGTGAATCACTATGCCTTGCATTATAGCTAAATTAACCATAAAATGTCTTGTTTTATGGACATCTTATTAAGGTTTATTACTGTCATGGTGGAGCAATTAGATAGTCTAGCTAAGCAAGGTAGCTATACAGTCCAGATATTTTATCAACTTTTTGGGGGTTTAATGGCAGTGGCATTTAAGGGTAACTTTGTCACTCCTTGAGTCCTGAGGTTTGTTACCACAAGAGCAACGCAGGAGCACACGTTACACCGTCTCCTAAACACCTGCTTTAACTCTCCCCTGTTTTCACAAATGCATGTTTTTGTAGTTTACACAGAGATAATCACAGTACAGTTTTTGGAATTTGCACTTTGAAACCCTTTTTTAAAATTATGCATTTTCAGGCCCCCAAAACATCGCTGCTGTGTAGGCTAATTGAATAGCCAAAATCCATAAAAAGGTTTCCAATTGTGGTTTGAAAATGGTTTTGTGTTAACAGCCCCTTTCTGTTTCTATGAAAACTATGAGAGTGATTATCTCAGGTACTAATTATATAGCCTTGTGGGCAGCATGCCGACATATAGTGCCCTTGTGCTTCAGTCGTCCTGAGTTTGAATCCTGACTTGAGGACCTTTCCTGAGCCTGCCTCCTTCTCTCTCTCCCACTTCGCTTCCTGTCAGCTCTGTTGTAATAAAAAAAGGCAAAAATGCCAAAAATAACATTAAAAAAAAGGGTCTACACTCTTAAAAATAAAGGTGCTTAGAAGGTTCTTCACAGCGATGCCATAGAAGAACCATTTTTGGCTCCACAAAGAACCATTCAGTCAAAGGTTCTTTAAAGAACCATCTCATTCTTACCTTTTTATAATCTGAAGAACCTTCTTTCGCCACAAAGAACCTTTTGTGAAACAGAAAGTTTCTTCAGATGTTAAAGGTTCTTTATGGAACCATTTAGACAAAAAGGTTCTTCTATGGCATCGTGAAGCACCTTTATTTTTAAGAGTGTAATGTGAGTTTGAATATCATTTTGTGTGACCTTTATAGTCATACTGAAAGTAACATTGGATCATTTACCTCATATCATGAAAATAAACATAACATTTAAAACTCAATATGAACCAATAAGAGTATTCCATGAAAAGATTGTATCAGTCACTCAAATATGTATTTTTAAATGGTTTAATATTTATGAATTAGATTATGTCCTTATCCATTGCACTCTTTGGGGATCTGGGTTTTGAAGAGAGTACGTTTGGTAAAAGTTACCAAAGATAAGGTAGCAAAGAGAAAATATGCTACTCATTACAGTGTTGTAAGCAATTTCATTAGTTTTTGATAACTTCTGCTATTTTTACACATTTCAACCACATGCACTTTTTCCAAAACCCAGATCCCCCAAAGATGTATCAGCCCAGCTGATGTTGCCAAGCCCAATGTACAAAATGATTCATAGGCAAACAGCGTTTCCGATTGGCTTGGATTATTTTTTGTGGAAAAATACGGCTATGAAATAGCATTTGCATTCACATACTTTAGTGGAATATGCTACAGACATAAAAGGTTTGGTGATATTGAAGCGCTTGGCAAAAACTGTTGACAAGCAGTTTTTGACAATTTGGTGGAAGCTCACATCTACTCTGTTCAGTTGCTTTGGTTGAGTCTGTATCTCTTTTGTGTCTGAGAAGAGACTGAAGGCTCACCGTGGACTGTACACTCTAAAAAATGCTGGGTTGTTTCAACCCAATGTTGGGTCAAATATGGACTAACCCAACTGTTGGGTTAAATTTTTGTTACATTTTTAAATTAACTTTTTAACCCAACAGTTGGGTTAGTCCATATTTGACCCAAC